GCGGCCTTTGTTGTTTTCTCTTTGCTGACAAGAGCCACCCCAGTGGGGGTGAGGAGCTACGGCTCAGTGCGAGATATCTTTTGACCTTGTTATCTTTTGATCATTAGCAATGGCTAATGATGTCGAGCATGCCTAGGCATTCAATCCATTTATATTCCATGTGCTGTCACAAAGGCTTTGCGTCTGTCATTGCCAGGTGGCTGGTGGTTCTGGCACGTGACAAGGCTGCGCCCCTAGTCCTCCCTTAGAGTCTTCCTTGGTGTCCCAGAAGGACCGGGGGGTGGGGTGTGCAGTGGTCACTCCGTGGGCTGCTAACCTCAAGGCCACCCTGAGCTGGAAACCATCGGCTGCTCCAAGGGAGAAAGAGGCGGCTTGCTACTTCTGCAAAGAGCTCCAGTCTGGGGAACAATCCCACAGGGCAGTGAGCCCACCTGCCCTCCAGGGTGGTTGAGAGTTGGCATGGGGCCCATGGCTGTGAGTTTGGTTGGTTGGGGTGTTGAATGACTACCGTGGAGGGGACCATGTGAGCAGCCTTGGCATTTGTTTTCCTCAAATGCCTGAGGTGTCCTCTGCGTCCTGGTGCTGGAGTGGCTGCCCTGGAGCTCATCAGCAAGCTGTCCCTTCCCCGGCGACTCCTCGCCCCTTGCCCCGGGGCACCTCCCTGACCGATAGGCCCCTCAGTTGACAGCTGTGACCAAACCAGGTAGCCAGAGAGGGAAAGACAGGCCCACACTGGCTAGGCTAGCCTGTGGAGAGGACAGGGTATGTGTGTGGAGCTGCGGGGATGGGTCTGAGTGGGCCAAGCAGTCTGGTGGTGACCAGCTAACTGGCTTCTCTGTGGACTTTTGGAGAGCCCCCCCACCCCAACCCCAACAGCACTGGCTGGTCCTGGGCCCAGGAGAGGGGAGGCTCTTGGGCCCTCTGTGGGTGATGGTGGGCTAAAACGGGAGCCAGGCCCAGGATGCTCAGGCACTGGCGATAGCCCAGAGTGTAACAGAGAAAGACCCCCACCTCTGACCCTCAGGTGGGGGTGAACTCTTGCTCATTGGGTCCACCCAAAGTCATCAGTCCCTGCTTCTGAAAATCTTGGGCGTGAGAAAGAAAGACACCGGACGCCATGCTGAGCTGGAGCCTAGGGGCTGGAGACACTGCCCTGTCCCAGCAAGGACACAGCCTGTCCTGAGGGTTGTCACCCTAAAGGCTTGAGGGCGT